TTCGATAAGGTGATAATGTTCGAATCACTGAAATAACTTTCAAGCAAAATATAATTTGTTTTATCTGTAGAGTCAAATTCACAATCGAACTCCGTATCTTGGTGTAACAAAAAAAAATTACAAAAAGGGAGGAAGGTAGATAGTACAATGAATGTAACAAAAGATACTTATTTAGATCATGTTTTAGTGACGCAAATTTAATTGATGAAAAATGCGATGAAAGTAAATTTTTAAAGTTCTAATGAAGAACAGATGATTGAAACTTTCTATGTTTTTACCAATTTTTGTAACTAACACAACTGCAGTTTCGTCCTATAAAGACATTTTCAAACTTATACATTAAACATTCAATGTATGAGTTTGGAAATGTCCTTATAGGACGAAACACTGTATAAGTTTGAAAATGTCCCTATAGGCCGACACTGCAGTAACGTTAGTTACTGCAATAACGTTAGTTACTGATAACGTTAGTTACAGTAGTAACATTAGTTACTGTAATATAGGACGAAACTACAGTAACGTTAGTTACAAATAAAAATGGTGAAAAACATAGAAAGTTTCAATTATTTTTTCCTCATTATGATTTTCTACCACGTAGTAACGGCTACATCTATCAATTTATTTTAAAGTTCTGTTATGTAGAAACATTTTAAAGAGGGTGGTGGGACAGATTTTGGGGGCGATAGCGAAGTGTTGCAAATGCTCACTCCTGATTGGCCCGCACTTTCGCTGGGTCGTTTTGATTGGTCCACACTGTTACTAATTTGTTCTGATAGCTCCGCGTAGTAGACAGGTATGCTACAGAAACAGAGAATTGGGCCGTTCAAGTAAGTCCGGCCGTACACGGACCACATATTTGCAGTTGAGGCAACCACAACATTGTGGCTACGTTGACTGCACTTCGCAGTTGACCCAACCACATTTTTGTGGTCGACTTGCGGTCATATAAACCGCATTTGCAGTTGAGCCAACTGACATCTAGATTTTGTGGTGTCAGAGTTTAGTGCCAGTTTCAATATGGATTTCGAAGAAGAAGCACTACTACTTCTTATTTTGAGGAGAAGGAGAATATGTAGAAAGGCACGATCGTTTTGGGTACATCCATTTCTGGTTGCGCGACAACAGGAAAGAAATTTTTATATTTTGTTTGAAGGTAATTGACAATGTTTCGTGGTGCATTTCATCAGTTTGGACTTCCATTGTCTGATATGATATAAATTGATTTGAAATCCCTGAAAGAACTGTTAAGAAATCAAAAAGATTAGCAGAAAAAACAATGTTTTTGGGCAAAAAACTGAAATTACAATGAAATAACATACAAGCAACAACCGGTAAACTCCGGCAAGACGAAAAAAAATGTTTTGATTACTCAAGAATGAATTAAAAATCTATTCTGGCAATTGTATAACCAAAAGCATATGCAGGAATTTCTTCTGCGACACTTGTACTGACACCTGTCGAATAAGAAAGGTTGGGATTTGTCTCTCTTCTATAGATACTTTCACGGGAAGTGTTCAAGTGACTTGGCATATTTGATTCCACCAAGAGCGGTACAGTAGTGGTACAAATCAGAAATATGCAATGGACTGTGGCTGCTAATCGTTTTGGGGTTCACTCAAACTTTATTGTTTAAGAACTATTTCATTTGGAGAACTGTGTTTATGTGGAATAAACTTCCTGAGAACGTTTTTCCAAATGGATTTAATCTCTTAGAGCGCCTCAAGGATTTTCCTGTAGTGTTTGTGTCTTAAAAACAAAGTAATCCAACACTCTTTGTGGTATTAGCCAGGGGAGCTGTTCTCTCATAGGTGTCAGCACAAAAACCTACTGTTTAGGTAAGTGAACAAATTGTTCCTTTATATCATATCTGTTAAAAAAAAATCTGTTTTTCTGTTAATCAGCTGCCAACCCCATACGAACGACAACTCTCAAAAGTTGAGAAACTTCTGCGAGCTAAGGACTAACGAGGTTTTACCTTTTAGCGTGTGATTCCCAACACGGTAATGGTAATATGAATAAATAAAATGGAAATTAACAATAAAGATTTTATTTTTGTAAGTGAAATAAAGTAATCCTGAATGAAATAACAATGATATAAAAATAAAATAACTCATTTGTTCAATACTCTTTGTATAGTCTGTAAATAAGTTTCAGTAATAAACAGTATAATAAATTGATGGATGTAGCCATTACTACGTGGTAGGAAATCATCATAAAGAAAAGAGAAACGAAACTTTCTATGATTTTTACCACTTTTGTTACTGCAGTAACATAATAGTGGTAAAAAACATAGAAAGTTCAATTTCTCTTTTCTTCAAACAGTATAATGTTCATCACAGGTAAGTGTTCACCTAAATTAGAAGACTATGTCAATATTAAAAACGATTAAAAAAAATGTATTCTCGAATATAAACCTGGAAAAATTAAAAATTTACTTTTGTTGATTTTCAGTTTGAGAAACTTTTGAATCGAAGTTTTTTCTTATTCAAGTGAATACTTACTCCATCACCATTTAATGGAAATTTCACATTTTTAAATAAAAAAGCATTCCATTCTAGCCAATCAGTTAACTTCAAACTGTATCATAAGAAAAGGATCTAATTGAGTTTGAAGAGTTAGGGCACCAAAGACTATTATGCCACAGGGTGTTCATACAGCAAGGTTGAATAAATAATTCTTTGGGGAATTCTTGCAAAAATGGTACTGTATCATTTTGATTTTAAATCGTTGATATGGTACTTTTTATTACAAAAAACAGGTTATTTTACTTGGAATTTTGAAGAATACACTGACCCGTTCCTAGAAAATTAATGCACTATCCATGATAACAATTATACAATTTTCACACTGGACTGGAGGCCCATTGATGAAGCCACTTTATAGTGAGTCGCGTCTTCAATAAAATCCATGGTGTAAAAATTTTATAATTATTATCATGGATAAAAAATTCATTGTGATTTGCTTTCACCAAATAAAATATCAATACTTAATGAATATCATACATACAATGGTTGAGTGGCTATCTTCAAGTGAACAAGTAAAACTTCAATTAGCAATCCCATAATGTTATAGTTCACAACAAATATTCGTCCTTACAGGTTTGTTTTTGAATCTTGATCCTTCTGTTGCAAGGTTGATTAAATTATATAAAAGTTGATCATTTGAAGAGACAATAAAAATTTATTTTTATCAGATCTCCATTACCAATAGCCGTTTTTGAGATATTCACAAAAAACCAAAATTGACGGATTTCATTTGTTGGCTTACCAACACCATCCTAAATGATATGAAAATAACAAAGGAACTTTTTGTGCTGAAATCATTAACAATGTAATCATTTCAGTTTATTGTATTCGTTTGAAAATGTCCTTGAAGGACGAAACTGCAGTAACCTTAGTTACAAATACAAGTGGTATAAAAACATAGGAAGTTTCATTTCTCAAATTTCATGATGATCCCCTACCACGTAGTAACGACTACATCCATCAATTTATTGACAGATGTGTTAATAATTTTCATTAAGTAACCGGCCAGTCCATTCATAATTTAAAAACTATAATTCATAACACTATTATATTACCCCCATTTTACTCGTTCTACAGTTTTACATTTCAACGAATTCAAAAAACACACTTTAATGTGAAATTTCCAAAAGTTTGCAAAACCAAGATACACATTTCACTATATGATAGCATTCTTGGGCGTCATATTACTTAAGTATTGGTCAGTTCTATCATAATTTTACATTTGCTGGATTGAATCATTTCGTACAGTCTATCTCGTCTTGTCTTTGTAGATCTTTTGCTGGAAAAATCCTCACCTGTTTACTTTGTAGTAAATGTTCAAGAGGTAGCAAAAACGTATGTGAATTTTTAGAACTTCAACTAGCGTTTCCTAATATGACTAACAACCAGTCCGTGCAAAGTTCATTGTTAAATCATTCGAAAACATGCGCTGAACTAACTGACTGTTATAAGAAAACAAGTATTGCTGAGGCACCAGTCAATTTAATAATAACACTGATGATCTTCAAACATGACTCAGCCTCTGACGGAAGCACCAAACTCTTACGAAGGTTCAAAATAGATGATCACTTCAATCTAGCAGACCATTATCATAATCTTCATGCAGTCATTGTTCACTGTGGTTCAGGCGTTAAATCCGGTCATTATTACGCCTTGGTCAAAGACGAAACGGACTGTGTTCCAGTCCTGTCATGAAGTGTTCAGGCGATGTGTTGACTTTTTTGGAGCCTCTGGAGACATCCTACATTGTGTTTTATGAAAGAGAGAACATTGACAGATCAAGATCTTCAGATAATGTGGTGCTGCAGGTTTTTCCAGGTTTTCCTGCAGCTGAAACGGTTGCGCCACTGGAATCAATAAAATCACCCCGGAGCGCCAATAGATTTTTGTTGTTTTTATAATTTCATGATTTGTATTACACAAAAAGTTGTTATAATAAAAGTTATCTTTGCATTAAGAAAAAATGCAAAATTGTGCAATGTAAATAATTCCACCTTGTCCAAGACTCACTCCAATAAGGGATGTGAGAACTCATTAGGATGGTTACATACTCATAAATCATTTTCATACCAAAGTATCATTTTCATTCATGAAATAAAAACAGGAAATGCACCTCTGCATCAAAAGGAGAAAAAATTACTTTCAATTCAGCACCACAATTACTACAATAGAACATAATGAATTTTTTGTAATAACAATAACATGAAAAGTATCCCAGAACTATTTTTTTCAAAAGACTGAATGCTTACTACTAACCACCCAGGGACATTAAAATTTCAGGAAGTCGCAATATATTCAAGTCAAAAATTTTAAATCAAAATTAAATGTTGCTACATAAAAATATGATTTCTACAAAAAATTATCCCAAGAATTTCTCATTCAACCCCAAAGTTTGAACACCTTGTCAATTACAATCAATACAAATGATAACCCTAGACAGGAATATAACCTTCATGATATGCAATGGAAAAAATATTTACCTCGAGTGTAATTTTATTCAAGTATGAAATAAATAACGCTGAATATATATACAAACTTAAATATATGTACTTGAAGAAATATTAAAACGTGCAGAAGAGTAGGGCAAATTTTTGACAACATTGTTTTGGCACCGTAACTCAATCCGAATAAAATCATACAGGTATATCAAGATTATGCTTTTCGATGAACCGTTTTCGAGCGTTGGCAATAAGTTGCTCTTTGCGCTCTTGAAACGATTTGCTTCTTTCGATTGCTGACTTAGGAAACGAAGAGGCAGCCTTTGTTGAGAAGGCTTTATGGCCGTGACTCAATACAGTCGGTGATGGCTGGGACGATTGATGAGCATTAGGAACAGAAGTTTGTTCAGGTGTGAAGTGAAGGCGACCCTCCAAAATATTGGTTATTGTACTGTCTACGTTTCTTGTTACACCTGAAATTCCAATAATCAATTATCTTTTGAATTACATTCAAAACAAATTGGATTACGATGATTTAAAACCTATTATTTGATGTCTTATTAGAAATTTGTACTCATCATCCACTATCTTAGAAAAGTATGAGGTACAGAAAAAAAATTTTTAATGCCAAACAATATCTTCAAACATATCTTTGCCAAAAAAGGTTTCAAAGTGAAAAAACATAACTGAATATAACCAATCTACATTCAATTCTGGTTATTTTTTATCCGTTCATCTGATGGGTTTAGTCAATACTCAGCAAAAATCCATAACATTTCCAAAAAACACTAGTGAAAATCTCAGAATTGAGTATTATTTATATTTTAGTCGGTTTTTAACACTTATTGAAATAATTGATTTATATTCGTTTGGCAATTGTTTATAGAAACTCAATATGGTAGAACTACATGCTTATGTTTATTTTCTACTACTTGGGAGCCGTCTGACTTACAAATTTCTTTGAAGTCTTCGGAAAACACTGCGGCCTCATAGGCTTGCCCATCTGTGTGGTCGCCAACATATGAAATCCACATAAACAAAATAGAAATAACTCATGACAAATTTCTAAGATATCTAGGTTATAAATCGAACTTAAAACACGCCGAGAGAAGTTTTCACTATAACAGAAATAGTGAAACTGAGTACTCGTACAGTTTATGCAGACATCAGATTTCTACACAAGATTTTGAACTATCATCTTGTCTTTAATTGGTCCATATGTTTCAACCCGAGTAATTTGAATAATGATTAAGATGTGGACACAACATATATACGTGTAGAGACCAACCTCAGGAAGTTAAAGACAAACATAAATAATTTACATCATAAATGATATATAATATGTGAAAATATCAAACTTTGAGGTTGACACATGACAAGTAATTAATTCGTACATGTATAGTACCAGCCAATGACAAAGCTCAAGTTCAATCAATATCAACGAATTGGATATCTTAAAATTTTTTGATGGTATGTTTGCAAGGGAATGCCGTACTAAGTTAGACTAACCCTTTCAAGACTGTGTACTCTTCAACATCTAGGCACACAGTGTCAAACCTCTCTTACCCCTCTAAGGAAACTTTATATAACCTTGACATTTTTTCTAAAACTCCTTCTATTTATAGTGATTAAACATTTATACATATTAAGATAAGACTTACATAAATCATTATAAATGACATGGTATGGAACGTGTGGCAAAACTTCTTTGACCTGATATGACATTCGCTGTATCTCTGGAATCACTGGCCTATTGGCATTACGTTGAGCTCTCTGTTGATCCTCAGCTAATTTCCTCTTTTCCCATTCTATCAAGTCGTTTGATGTATAGTCAGTCATTTCAATCTAAAAGTGAGGAAACATAATGAAAACAATGATAATAATGTATTTCCAATTAATATCGAGGCTGTAATCTAAATTACCATTGCAGCAAAGTTTCTCTCCCTGAAATTGAAATTTCGAATTTTACTCTCCTAGCTGAATAAACATCTACATTATGTTTGAATAATACCAAAATTAGCTCTTGAAAATCCGTATATTTTTTAAACAATTAGGAACTATTAAAAAATTCCCAGTTCTCAATTGACGGCAATACATTTGGAAATAACCGCCCAATCACAAGTCTTCCCAACTTAGCCAAGTTTTACTAAAAATGTATTTTTATGCATTAGCATATTAGTCTCTGACATAATTACTGGAAATTAGCATAGATATAGAGAAAGACCTTTTATATTTCAAAACAGAGAAAATCGTGTCCTTTGTTCTTTGGATACATTTGAATTATAAAAAACATCCTCAAATTTTCTAGTATTTATGAAAACAAGTGAAATTTGAGAAAGTCAGAGGTAATTCTGAATATGCTAGTTGAAACTCTAAAATCTTATAATTTAATGAGGTCTTCAGACACAAAAACTTACTTCAAATACTAAGATCTGACTTGAACAAATATTTATAATTTAGAATGTAACTATTTTACATCTACCGGTATATGATTTTATTTTTATCATTTTACATTTTGTCTATAATTTTTATGCCTCTCACCAACAAACAGAGGAAACTGAACATTCGTTCGAGATGAGTGTATCAATATAAAAAATCGCTAATTGAATGTATGCAACCCGCGAAATTTGAAAATTCACCTTAATTTTTGAATAGTCCATGTATAAGTAAAAATGTAAAAAATCTAAAGAATCAACTTGAATAAATATTATTATAAAATTGGCCAACCAAAAACTGAACCAAGTTCTTCCACATCTGTTTGGATGTCAACAATATTTTTAAGGATTAATGTGTGAGGTAGATCTTTCCACACACAAATGAATGACTTAGATTTCCACATAAAATGTAGCATTTCAAATACTTGACAATCAATGTAAATATTGCCAGCCATTGAAAGAGAAGAAGATAGTTTGGATAAAAAATTAAAAACAAACACATGTAGTGTTGATGGAATACTAGTAAGTCTGATGAAAACATGCATAGTTTTCCACAATTGATGCTACCCATAATGAATAACTCTTTCGAACATGGAAATTTTCAAATCAATAGCTCTCATGACACCAATATATAAAGAGGGGGTTATGAATTACTAAAAAATCAATGAATTTCATGAAACAGTGTAATTCCTTAACTCAACCCAATATGGTTATATGAAAGTAAGATCAACTGAAACAGATATAATTCATTTCACTGGAAAAATTACCGAGTCATTTGAAAATAAAGAAATACTTTATGGGTTATTCTTAAACTTCTCTAAAGCCTATGACTTGTAATATAATAACATAGGCTTTCATGGCTGGCGTCACAATTAAAGAGAAAAAAAATCCAGGTTAATAGGCTGTGATCTACTGGAATCTAGAGTACTAAACATTTCATCTGCTACTGCAGCAGACATAATCCGTGGTATGTGTGTTGACTGCGAGGTCAAAGATTATATCTTGAAGTCTCAGTAACAAACAATCATACGTTACTGAGACTTCATCCATTATATTACTTATTATAATAAATGTCTTGTTTCATCTCTCATGCACTAACTTCACTGATATATTTATGGTGAATATTCTTGCAGTTCTTTCATTATTGTTATAAACACAAACGATTGATAGGGGACAAAATTACGTTATTTTTTTGTTTCATGAAGTAAAGAAATGACTAGAAGACATTGCTAATATGATAGAAAAGAAAGATAATTTTTGTACATACCACTTACTTTTGTAACTAATTGCAAACTTAACTAAATGGGATTTGTGTCACTAGAAAAGAAGTTGATGTTTACTAATATAATAGTACCAATAGAAACTATATTTTCATGTATGGTTGTAGAACAATATACTTTCTATACCCTATGAATGAATAATATTCTTATGGAAAAGTAAGTACCTAATAGTTACTATAATCATTGTTTATGCAAAACCTGATAGTTACCTTTAGGTTAGTAGCAATTTCCCTCCTTACAATTTCTGCAAAATCTGAATTAGATGTACTTTTCCTTTCTAATGATGGCAGAAACTTCAATTTGTAAATTGTGAGAGGACAAAACATGAAATAAAACAAATCACTAAAATATGAAGATCCAAGCGTTGTCACAGATATGTCCAAAAGTGACCTCTCAATAGTTATACAAATTGGCTGAATTTTGGAAGAAACTTCAAAAGCATAAGTCTTGAATTTGAGCAAAGCCTTTCCATTGGTTGCTCTCCCTTCAGGAGCAAAATACAAAGGTGTTTTTTTCTCAGCCATGAACTGACTTACACTATTTTTGAAGTTGTCCGTATTTGTTACATTACCAAAGCAGTAAGTGCTTAAACACATCACCTTTTCGAGGGAAGTTCTGGCACTGGGCTAAAATAAAAAAATACAAATATGTTAAATGTGTGCTAACAAACAGTATATTACTACGAGTCAAATTCAAAAGTTAGTAGTAAGAATAAAAGAGAATAATAAATCTCCAAACCCATCCCCTACCATCCCCATGAACTCCTACTTCAAAAGTCAATTTGAATTTATTAAATCACTTTTCCACACCAGAAAAAAATACTGTCTTTTGACATGCATTTTGCTATTCAAGGTAGCATATTCAGGGATATGACTAGAATCCAATTTGAAGTTAAAATTTATGAGTACAATATAAAATATTCAACATTTATGAAACAATGTCCTCTCTCTCATAAAACAAAATGTAGGGTGTCTCCAGAGGCTCCAATAAATTCAATGCATCGCCACAACACTTCGTGACACAACTATCGTCAAACTTAATGTGAAATATGGATTGCCCACAGTTTATTGGTTGTGAATATAACTATTTGTATAGTGTAAAATTGAAACCGTAAAAACTTATCAATAAACAACATGTAGACAGTGTAATCTGTCAAATAATAGTAATACACCATCAACTGTAACCGACATGTGTATTCTTTCGTTGAGGCAACTGTACTTATGAAAATTGCAAAATGTGATCTAAATAGTTCTGCAGAGTTTTTTTATTAAAATAATGTGTTATAGGTTTACATGACAACATTTTTCATATTTTCAGAAAGTAGCTGTTTTGAGGGTTTTGTTTTTCAGTTTGTGTCCGAAAGTAACTCCTTTGCATGATCTACTACACATCTTTGTATTGAATCACTTTCTTGAAATTGATTGCTTCCTGGAGAAAAAGAAAGCCACAACCTTTACTTTCCAAACTGAAAATATTGTTTTAGAAGACAAGGTCATTTTTACAATTAAATAATTGAAATAGACTTGAGTAATGTCTAGAAAGTGCCTAGGTCCAGTGTGCATCCAAATTAAATGATCATGTATTTGGTGAAAGAGGATCTATGAAATTTAGTTTACAAATATTCCATTTTTGAACTCATCCCTTTCTACAAAAAGATGATTTGCAAATGTTGGGTTATTCTCATTCAAAAAACTACTTCTATTCTAGTTAATTCTGTTGGAAAAAATTCTCCCTGTTTGACCAACATAAAGTTTTTACTTCTTTACAGTTATGAAATAGATATTACAAAAACTACGGAAATAAGCTATGAACTGGGTTTATCCAACTTCAGAAACGAGGGTAAGCACCATAGGTTTTGGTTAACCCTCCAATAGTATTGCTTGCCTTTAAAAACAGAAAGACATGAACATAGCATAGAAATAGTATTTACAACAATAAAAACTTAAATGTAGGATATATTAAGATTCACTAAGTTGACTTGTCATTCTGGTCCCAAACTTTATATTGGTCAAGTGGGTGAAATTTCTCCAAAAAAATAAATGGCCATAATAGGTTTTTGAATTAGAAGCCCAATTCAACATATGTTAACCATCCTTCATATGCAAACCAACCTTTGATAGAGGAGTGATGATTCAATCATGACTATGCTATATTACATTTGGAAGAGAAAGTAGATGAAAAATACATTACACCTAAATTTTGAAAAATCAGATTACAAAACATCGCCCATGTCATGTTTTCAGTCCACTTATACAATATCATACTTACTGAAACTGATCCAGTTGCACTACATACGGCTAATTGATCAAATATGGAAAGACTGTTGCTAATATATACATCAACATTATCCTTCTTCCTGGGGTTTTCTATAGAAACAGATATACCCAAGGATAAGCAAGCGATTTTGTTAATGATTTTTTGAGATGCTGGTGTATCTGGTAAAACCTGCCCTAATATGAATAATCCTAGAAGTAGAATGGCTCTTAAGATAAAAATAAATAATCCAACAGGACTGTATAAGAGGAATAATATCAAGCTGGCATCACTTTCCGGCAATCTAAAATAATCAAATGTAAGTAGTCGGAGTGAATTTTTCAAAACTCAGCTCACCTGTTAATCCTCAAAAGGTGTTTTATTTCGATATTTGCCATGATTACCGCAGAAATAACATTACTGAATTGACGGTTATGTTAACAGTTCCTCGTTCTTCAGTAGAAAGTGTATCAGTGAAAGTAAATTTATTAATATAAACTCGAAGAATAATAAATGATCACTACTTCTAAATTATCGTTCTACAAAAATAACAAAAAGCTGAGACCAACAAACGTCAAAAACGTCACAATTCTTCATGACGAGATGGAGATATCCGACTTCCCTTTTCCCTATGCTCTATGACCCTGAAAAATAGAGAGGAGAGTTCTTAATTATCCATCCTTGTTTGCAGGACAGCGAAAAGATTATTCAAGTTGGATTATATATACAAAGAGGTGCAAAGATTGGAGTGAGTAAAATCACCGCTTAGAAGTATACGGTGGTAAAATTATTTGGTGTTTACAACGAATACGCGTAAGTCAGAAAAAATTATACTTTAGAAGGTTTGTTCTGGTTTAACGAAATTCAGGTTCTAGGACGTCAGGATCATGCGTAGTTGATATAGAGCGTTCTGGTTTATTGAGGATAATTTCGGACTGATGAATCCTCTGTTCTGGTTTCGACCGCGAAATAATTCTAAACTGTTTTGAACCGTCCCGAATCGTTCTTGCTCTCGAGGCTGAACTGTTGAGAACAGTTCCCGTTGCTCATGCGCATTCATGTGGAAATTTATTTGGGATTGAGAGTAGATAACATTTGAACTGACTATAAGGATACGCTACGATAGGTGGCACAGTGGTCTTCTCAAAAGCGTTCTGGTTTAAACAAAAGTCCGAGACTATTTCGGACTGTTTGAGATTTTTTGTTTGTACGCATCACGTCTTGCACAGTTTCCAAACAGTTTCGGATGTTAGAACCAGAACAAACCTAGAATATATTCCATATTCAACTTGACAAAATATAATGCATTTGGTTGTACAGTTGGCAACTCAATGACATGTCAGAAATTGAATTCTAGTGTCATTTTGCGAAAATTGAATATATCATAACCACAGAACTATATTATAGTTCTGTGATCATAACTCCCTACTTGATGGAGTGTTACAAAGAATGAATTTGGATAGGTAATTATGACAATTTTACATTAAATTTTACACTTTCCAATAACTTCAACAGCAATTGTAGCCAACATTATAACATGAAATATTTGATTTAATTCCATTTCATACAAGGAAAAACAAGGAAGTTATAGGGGCAAACAGTTTCAGACGTTTTATTTTTGGTTACAGTGATATTTTACATAAAATATAAAGTAGACAAGTCATTACTGTAATTGTGATTGAAAACCTTTAAATTTCAACACATGTAAACCTGTAGAATGTTAATTCACTATTTTTTATATTACGGTAGCCGGTCGGTTCAACGTGAGTGCTTAGTTCACTTACTCAAATCGACCACCGTGTTGGTCGCTGGTTCAAGCCCCAGGCTGAACGATCGATTTTCACTTGCTATCGTCCAACCCGTGTTAGGAATCACACGTAAAAAGGTAAGACCTCGTTAGTCCTTAGCTCGCACAAGTTTCGACTTCTGAGAGTTGTCGTTCGTAGGGGTGCGACAGCTGGTTAACGGAAAAACAGATTTTGAACAGATTTTTTACACAATACGTATCACTGCCAACTGGCAATGCGTATATTGTCTTTAGTTTCAGTACTCATTGTCAGATAATCAACAATATTAACTCCATGTGCAATAGATTCATAATGTGATATGGACAAAACACTAAACTCATGTAATTAAAAGCAGTAAAATTTCAAGTTTTTAAATTACATTCACTATAATAACACATTATATGTCGAACATCAAAGTTGTCAATCATAAGAAATGCTGAAATATCTACAACCATTTTTACGTGAATACTTCACAATTGAGAACAGCAATTCACCACGCAATGCCACATTGTAAATTATGGGACATTAGATGACGATATTCAGTTATGATATGATCCCCGTATATTTATAAATAATGTTCATCTTGTGATGATTTACCGTTTAAATTTTTGTATGACTGTCAAAAAATCAGTGATACATTCGAGTGGGAGATAGAGAGGTGGGTAAGTAATAAGAATCCCAAAAGAAAATAAATAATGAACAATCCACAGGTGCGTCATATGAAATAATGAAAACTCATGATCTGATATTTGCTGAAATACAGATGTGGAAAAAATCGGTGCCAACGAATCCCAATGCATCATTGATGGGGTCCACGATAGCTGTCTACCAGTTTGAAATAAGAGATTTGTTCGCTACGGAATATCAACTTTATCACTTTTTCCCTTACTGCACTATTCAACTCCAGCAACTGATATGTTGGGTATGAGGTAGAAGTCAGTCCATACCGATTTAAATAATTCCTTGCGAAATCTAAAATGTTCACATACACAATGGATGGAAAGACAAATTTTAATGAGGTATTTTGGTACTCACTTATCCAAGATTCAATAAATCTATTTATTATTGCATTTGAAAATAGGCCACTTCTGTCACAGACAAGCATTTGTGGAATTATCAAAAAGTTCCAGATATTGGATGTGTTCAGAACTTCCGGAAGTGTCAAAATTCCGATTGATGAAGACCGTCAAAATAAAGAAATAACAGTATGTGTCGCTGTTGAAGCCGATAAATTGAAGACAAAACTGTTGGGAAATGGGTCGATGCGCCTGAATGGAAGCAAAAGCCAAAAACATAGAAAGAGAAAGAACTGTTTCGAAAGTTTTGAAAAGATTACCATCGTTATGAAAGTACAAAAAGCGAATGGAATTTTGCGAAACTATGATGAAAAAACAAAATGATATTAGATTATTCATAGATGAGTTACCTTTCATTTTATTCACGTAGGAAACACCATCCATCCATTATTCGATATTGGTGGTTTATTTGAACCTTGCATTAGGCTCGTAGTTACTTTTTTCTTCAGCATATATTTCATTTTCAAAGTGCTTATGGACTATACAGCGTGACAAAAATAAAACTATTGAAGCCACTTTTAATTTGGACAATAAAATTGAAAGAAACTTCAGCATGCAATAAGAGATGTGTTCGATTTCAAAAATCTGGAGCTGAGCGGGCAAATGCGGATTTGATACCACGTGATCACAGAATCAACGGAACGAAGATAGTGCTAACAATAACAATGATAAACCAGAATTTGGTGCGAAGGCTACAGTTAACTTTTGATAAACATTGATTATCAATGGCAAACTGTTTATATGTTACGTAAATTTCAAGTGCTAAAATGGAAAGTGTTTCTCCGGAGTATGACAATACAGAAAATTACGAGGAAGAAACTTGCAATATGGACAATCATAGACAATGTAGAAATTCCTTGAAGCCTTTATTGACCGAGGAAAAGATGCGAAGAAAGCTCCAGTTTTTTTTCATGAATCCCATAGAAAAATGGGAAGCAAAAAAAAGGTTTCCTTATAAATTTGTAGTCCAACTAATCAAAATAGTGTTGGTTACCGTACAGCTCTGCTTGTTCGCCTATCACCAGTACAAACACGTGAATTACACTGGGGACAACAGAATTGCCTTCTCACATCTATTTCTCAGAGGATGGGATGCAACGAGGGAAATAAATGTTTATCCCCCCGCAGCTGGCCCTTTGGCTGTCTACAAGGAAGAAGATTTTTATTTGACCATTGACTATGCTTACACAGGATATGCTCAATTGGATAAGGCTATCGGTCCTTATTCTTATGCTAACGAAGACAACACTATGTCCGACATGATTATATGCCTTCATCAGTACAAAGAAGGAATAATTTTTGGCTTCAATGAATCCTATATTTTCAACAGTGAGATAGTTGAGACCTGTTTAAACGTGTCTGAAACTGAAGGACATTTACTGAATTCCAGAGAATTCTTGACAAAACATAATTTGGATATAAATTTTTCAGCTTTAGTGAAAGCTCAACTGATGTTTCCCATTAAAACCGTTAATTTCAAAGCAGCTGGCAGAATTTCACCTCCGAGCTGTTTCAGGTTTGACATTTCTATTGTTTTTGATAACGAAGACCATGATGGGCAAATGCTAGTGTCTCTGGATGCTGATTCCACTCGTTTGAAGTGCAAAGGTGATGTGCAGTTCATTACTGATGATGAAATAGAAACTGTCCTCAGGAGTCTGCTGAACTACTTAGTGATAATAATTTGTATCATTTCATTTGTGTTATGTAGTAGAGCAGTCTGGCGTGCTCAGCAGCTGAAAAACATCACAGATAAATTTTTTCGGACCCACTTTGGTGAGTCATTGAGCGACCATGACAAAATGAAATTTTTGAATATGTGGTACATTATGATAATTATAAACGATCTGCTGATAATAATTGGGTCTTCAGTGAAAGAACAGATTGAGAAAGAAGAGTTTGTTACAGATCAATGGAATGTGTGCAGCATGTTTCTTGGTATAGGTAATATGTTGATATGGTTTGGAGTATTGAGATATTTGGGCTTTTTTAAAACCTACAATGTTGTTATATTAACTCTTCAGAAGGCAGCGCCGCAAGTGGCACGATTTTTACTTTGTGCCTTGTTGATTTACGCTGGTTTCACTTTTTGTGGCTGGCTCATCTTAGGACCATACCATTTGAAATTCAGGTCTTTGTCTACCACTTCAGAATGCCTATTTTCCCTCATAAATGGGGATGACATGTTTGCCACATTTGCAATCATGTCCAATAAATCCGTTATTTTGTGGTGGTTCTCCAGAATATACTTGTATACATTCATAAGTTTATACATTTATATAATTTTGAGTCTTTTCATCTCTGTTATAATGGATGCTTATGATACCATTAAGCTCTACTATAAGGAAGGTTTTCCGAAAAGTCGCTTGGAATGTTTCATTGGTGACACAAATATTGAAGAGGTTTCAAGTGGTATATTCCGAAGCAACTCTGATGATAGTTTAGGTGGCTTAATGAAAGATTTGTGTTGCTGCACAAAAATGCCTAGATCCTACTCCTCTTTATCCACTACCTCCATCCTTCAGGCCAACTCTGGATCCAGCATTTTAGTCTGATTGAAAATTCAGTTTGGACAACTTTTCAGTTGGGTGATCACGAATTTGTTTATAATTCTGTACAAAGCCTTCCATTGGTACTACTAGTAGTATTGTTGAATTTCATGACAAATTAGTTTGGAGATTCCCTTGTAGGTATATCAAATACCTATTAAATTTCACACAGGATAAAAATGTATTCTTAGTCAATTGTATATATTAAATATATTAAGGACATCAATCAATTCAATGATAAACAACAAAATCATAACAGGAATATACATTTTTTTCTAGAACTATTTGAATTTTTCCCATTGCCTAATTCATTTTTGTTAGTAAACACAGAATGATTTAAGGTGAATATAATATCGGACATATTTTGAGAATTAACAAAAAATCATTGATATTAGTTTTTCAACAATGTAGTGTTACCAAGTAAACTTTAACTTGAAACAATTTATTAGGTGTATTCGCTCATTACATATCAGTGCGGCTGATTAGTTAGCTTCGCTCGCAAGCACTCGATAAGGCACTACATCTGCTGTGTTTGGTATTTACAAGAGCAAGGAGAAATATGTGATCGGTTAGCTCTAAGATCAACTTTAGATCAGAGAGATTTTTCAGTTATCCTGTCCTTATCCACCTGTGAATTCATTGAAAAATTTCAATTGAAATGTGATTTTGATCACATATATGTATTGAATATGAATTGAGTTTGTTGGTATAGTTTGAAAATTAATATTTCCTATATTTGTAATCGTAATTCGGTCCTAAATGAGAATTAGCAATTGTATGTTTTATATGGAGATGTTTCATTATTTATTTCAATAATAGGATGCTGTCAGTTATGTTACTCTTGAGAATTATATTTTTAAATGATCTGATTTACTCTTTATATTTTTTTTATCGGTAAGAAAGAATGAACTGTATCGAATTACCGAAACATTTAAAACAATGTGACATAGTTTTAGTTCAAATATGAGCATATGAGCATTTATTTCCACTAGTAGGATTTGCATCACAAAATATCTGACTGTAAAGCGTTATTTAAGCGTTTTAGTTAAATTTTTTCATCTTCAGAGCATGTAACTCTAGTCAATTTTAACATTTATTGCAAAACAAGTTTTGCTGTGTTTTCAGGGTCATATTATTTGTTGATGTAATTTTAAGTTATAACTATGGATTGTGGAATTTAAAATGTAGATTTTTGGCACTGTTTTCAAAAATACATATTTTCACGATATGATTTATTACAAGGTTCCTACTTCTTTGTTTGTAATCATGTAATTAACAGATTCTTAAAGTGAACATAGCAATAATGGTTTTTCAGGTAACCACTGTTGAAATTTCAGATATCAGTTACTTTCGGACCATACTCTTAATTTATTTTGAGCCACGTTTTGGCTGTCCAGTTTCATTGTATTTTAGTGTTCTGACTGTTATCCTTTCAAGTTTTTCAATATTTCACCAAAACAAGTGTTTGACAAATATAGAAATCAACAACGAAGAGACTAAGGCTATGGCTACATTTGCGTTTTGTTGTTTAGACAAGATCGCAGATATGGGCAGAGCCTAAGTCTATCAATAACCTATGTTTACTGTAAAATATTGTAACATACCCCCCTCGAAGTGCTGAAAAACTGTAATGAAGAAATGAACATTAGGAACAATTAACAAGACAATGCACAAAGTATAAAAAATATAGAGAAAAGAAATCAACAGTGATCAGATAGAGTGGGTGTAGGAACTGAATCTAAATAATAATCTTCATTGTTTTTATTTCAATTCACAGTGTGATCAAATACAATAATATCTACATCCAGAACCTAATATTCATAGCAAATATATATTGATGAGAGAGTAAAACTTTCACGACCGCTGAGAATTCTGGCAACGCTTTTTTTTTTCGGTTTGCTGACCGTGGTCTGCACATTTTGTACCTAATGTTTCGCCTACGACTGCGGTGCTTTGATGGCAAACAGAAATTTCGTCCGTTGTCTCATTGCCTTTGATAATGTCTACTGCAGTCGTAGACGAAACGTCATGGTTACAATCCTGAATACCACGGCCAGCAAGTCCATAAAATACTTTGACCCACATATATTCACTTCGAATAAAGTAGTCCATCAACATCAATAACTCCGATAGTGATTTTTGTGTTTTGACAACATGGTTTTGAGATAATAGGCTAATGTTAGTTCCAAGCAGAATGAAAAAAATGAACCTACTTTTCAAAGCTCTTGAAAAATCATAGATTTTACAGTATATTTTTCAAGAACAACCATGCAAAAGCCTGATCTAGGCAACTAGATGATTAAAGAAAACCAGTAGTACAAGTTTCAATAGGTTGGAAAGAGATGAATCTGTAATAAGATATATTTGTGTCACTATTGGATGAATTATATTTTTTATTGAAATCTACAACTGAACTTAAATGTATATGATAAAATTGGAATCTGCAAAAGTTGTTTCAAATATGTGAATATCTCAAGTTCTATTCCGATATTCGTTTTTTTACCAGTACAGTAGTTTGATATTTTCAATAAGTAGATCAGTTTATGTTCAAGTATAAGACACATTGAACATTTCACTCATTTACCTGCATTTAATTGAAAGTTTCAGCACTTTGAAAATGGAACAAAACGTGTAAATAAAAATTGTTTGAAATATATTTGATGTTTAATAACAGTATTTTATTCTTCACTTTTTCTTGTTACTATTAGCTTAGACAGACAGAATCAAATTATAATAGGCAATACATTTTTTCATTTTGAAAAACACTCTATTTTCTCTTCTGAGATCTATAAGTGGTGTAATATGCGTTTTCAAAAACATTTTTTATCAATGTTTTCGCCACTGAATAAAAATAAATTTCATGTCGCCAAATAGTAAATATCTGCTATGGGATTAAATATCAAATTTTGATTTTCTTATTAGTAAGTGGGTTATGCTTGAAGACTGGCAGTAAACAGTCTAAAGCAACTGAACTTCATACGTTCAAGCCAGTCTCTATATACCTACACAGTAGGTTTAATGGACTGACACCTATCAGAAAACAACTACTCCCCTGGCTAATATATGCAATTGGCAATACAACTGAAAGAGTCGGCCCAGTGCAGGAAT